CTAGAGAATCGCCCAGGATTTTGGCAGCAACAGAAATCCTGGAGTCAGAAGACGACACGCCCCCGGTTGAGGAGGAAGTGCAGTCGATGCGAGGCACGCCGACCGGAGTGTTGTGTGAGCATGTGGTACCGTTACTCCGGTAGCTTGATTGCAAGGCAGCCAAGTACGGGGATTCCTGTCATGGTGGATACTATGTTGAGCTGATCCAACATCGGACGCGGATCAAAGTGGCAGCGAATCCTTAGTTGATTGCCCAAGACCAGAAGTACCGGAACTTGGACGAGCGCTACAACTTTCTGCAGGATCAATGCGCCTTAGCCAGGAAATTGCAAAAGGCAGCGCTGAAGCTGCGAGATGAGATGGTGGCAAATGCGCGGTGCGAAATTGATGAGCTGCGAGTGAAGGTACAGACAGACTCCAGTGTTGAGCAAATTCAAATCTGCAATCTGGCGGATGAGCTCGTGCGGAAGACCCAGGCGATAGAGTAGAGCAAGGCTGCGAGGAGGGTGGACGAGGAACTGCTGAGGAGACTACAGTCGCAGTGCAAAGGATTGAGGGTGCAGCGGGCGGCGGCGGAGTTACAGTTGGCCGAGATTGAAGGCCACAACCGGCGCCCGGCAGATCGCACGCGGGAGGAATTAGTTGCACGGGTTGGCCGTTGTCTAAGGGGTTATGCTCACAGGGAGGTTGCGACCCGGGAGAGGGTGACGTTGCGCGAGCTCGAAATGCGCGCGACTGCCTTGATGGCTGGCGACGGACGAAGTCGGCGTTGGGTGGCAAAGTGGTTGGAAGCGTTTCTGTTCAGGTCGCAGGATGCTGTTGCAAACCTCGAGGCGGAGGTGATCGCCGAAGGTCTCATCGCAGTGGGTGGATGCCAAGCGGATCGATAGACGTGAAGACGACAGACATGTCTGGACTGGACTGACGATTACACAAGTCCATGGAGTGCTCTGTCATTCAGGGGAGATCGAGGTGTTGAGGCGGCTCGGACTGCGTAGGCGAGCATACGAGTGGACGGGTAGGGAATTAATGGGTCGCCGGCCGACTCATAAGAGGCATAGTCGATGAGTAGAGTTAGTTAGTTAGGACTTTAGATTGTATAAAGTAGTCTAAGGCGTTAGCCTTGGGAGATTTTTCTAGTTTCAGAAGTTCAGTTCAAGAAATCGTTTTCTCTGCGTGTTTGTGTCCTTTGGCTGTCACCGCGCAAGAGGAGCTATAGCTTGTCGAAGTTACCGCATTTTATAGCAGAAGGACTTCGTCCGAGCGTTCTAAGCTAGCGTAGACTAGTCAGGATTTAAGCAAGTTCGGACTTACACCTTGTGACGTTTTTCCCTGTTTGTATTTCCTTCGAGATTTCTCCCCTGAATACCAAAGTGGAGTTTTGTTAACTTCAACGTAAGGATTGGTCGAGTTCAGGTTGAGTGTGTTAATCTGCTTAAGGTGCCTTCGCAGTATTTCTAGGAATGACAGTTGCCTGAGAATTCAAACTCGTCAATAGACTGTTAAACCGTAAGACTCGGACTTTTCTCAATTTAGTTTCTCAGTTCGGGCTTCTGCATTCTTTGCGCGTTTTGTAAGTTGAGTGCGTTGTTCACCACGTGAGAGTTACTTTAGTTTGACGAAGGTATCGCATCCGAAGTAGGAGTTCAAACCCGAATGTTCTGTACTAGCAGTTAGCTAGTGACACGCTTAAGCAAACTCGGATTTGTTAGCTATCTGTAAGTTCTTTGAGTGTGCTCTTGGGAAATTCCCCACCCCCCCCCCCCAAATCTTCCCTGAATCTTAAGTTGAGGTTCTGACCGACCTTTGAGTTGTATATTTACAGTTTCATGTGTGTGTGTGTGCGCTTTTGGGTGTACTACGATGCATGGCGTGTCCTCCGAGTCAAACACCTGCAGTATTTCTAAGAGTGACAGTAGCCTAAGGATTCAAACTCCTCAATAGACTGTTAAAACGTGACCCTTTGTACTTAATGTGTTGTTTCTGTCCTTGTGAGTTCAATCCTTTGCTGTTATACTGCAATTTGGCATTGGTTGGTTATCACACAAACCATCAAACAGTTTTTCAAAATCTTCAAAATTTGTTTTAAATATCTAAGAATTCATTTGATAATTTATCTATATTATTTTATGAAATTTGATATGACTCTCTCTCGATATTCATAGTTAGACCAATATTATATATTATACATAACATCTTATACAACAAGTTGCTCACAATTTTGTCATAAGAAATTGATAACATCATTTTCTTCTCATTTTCATAGATTCAAAATTTAACAATGAAAATTTTGAAATATTTTATCACAAAAATTCATATAACTTTCAAACTTATCATGGTAAAATTGTGAAACAAAAGTTTAACGTTTTATATTTTAATTTTATCATAATATTTCTTTCTTCAAACTTTTATGAATATTCTTTTGAACTTATTCAATTTTTTTGTCTCAAAGGCATGTTTCAATTATTTCTTATGATGTTGAATTGATTTTTCACCAAAATGAACATTTCAAGAACGTAAAATACTATCATAATGACATTGATTATATCATTATTTAACTTCTTCTTGTATTGATATGAGTCATACACTTTGTGATAATTTTTTTCTTTCATGAACTCATAAAACATTGCATTCAACTACCTAGGAGTTTGTTTTAGTCCATACATTAATTTTAGAAATGTACAAATTATTTTTCAAAGTGAACTAAGTTTCATCCATCAGATCTATAAGCAAATAAAATATTACATCAAATGCACATATTAGTCAAATTATAACATAGTTTGTTACATAAGAAAATGATTTCGTATATTACATCAACGAATGCATCTCAAACTCCAAAAATAATTTTTTATTCAAAGTTATTGACATGATTTTCAAATTTTCCATAAAAAGTTTTTTTGTTTTCAGGATCAATATCATCATACTCCTCAATATCAAGAACATGATCTTCAACAATAAACCATTATTTATATCTCCAAGAAGTTTAACTAATTTGATTTGATAATCTTTTGGTAGAAATTTTTGTTGATCTCTATTTTTCAATGCAGATAATTGAATATCATCGATGATAACATGTTCCGCCAAACTTTGTTATATACAGATTTAGTTCATTTGTATTAAAACGTTTATTTGTATCACGTCATTGATAACATAATTAATGAGTGAAAAAAATTCTTTATAAATATGGCAAATAAAAAACTTTTTACTTTTTCAATGATCTTGATTCATCAAGATAAGTAAACATATTGTTAATAATATTATAGACTATTGGAATCCAAAGCTTGTAATTGTATTTTTTGTATGTATGAGAGAAAAAAGTTACAATCAAAATTTCTTAAACAATTATAATTAATAGTCCGTTTGTATATAGTTGAATGGTGTGAGTAAAGTGATTGCACTAGAGGATGAAGAAATTATTAAATATACTATGGTTTTCACAACTTTAAGTCAAAATTCATATGATAGATAAAATTTGTTCAACATATTAGGCAACTTTTGCGATAATGTATAATTGAATTTCTCGGAAATAGCATTGTGTTGCGGATGATGATATTATATGTAATCTGTTATTCTGGATCATAAGTTCAAAATTCTTCATAAGTATTTTACTTGCTATTATTCATACATAAATAGCTCACGCTCTTTCTATTCTAAATCTTAATTTGGACTTTTTAAATTTTAAAAGTTGTATAAACCTCATACTTTTAAGTGAAAAAAAATCTATACAAACCTTGAATAATCTTTAACAAAAAACACATGATATTAATTTTCAAAGAGTGAGGTTTTCCATGCGCTTATCACTTGTCATTATGTACATATTCAAATAATTCCTTGATAATTTTGAGTTCTAACATCAAAAACTTGACTATGATGTTTTCTCATAACACAATGTTCAACAAAAATTCTATCTAGTTATTTAAATTGTATGCAGCAAAAACCCTAAAGCACCCTTAATAAATATTAAGCTAATTAGATTTAATCTGATTACCATTTGTTGGATCAAATAATAAGACATCTACATTATTGATCAAATACAATCATATGTCCAAACACAAAACTCCAACTTATATGTGTTTTGTCATTGCAGAATTACATCCACACTGTTACATCTGTTTTACATTGAAAACATTAGAAGATGTACTTTCATCTAAAGTAAATTGTATTTTGTATCATTGTAGATTTAAACATGATAAAAGGTTTGTTATAATTATGTAGAAGTGCGTTGAGAAATACAACAACATAGACTATTGAGCCAAAGTAGAATTCTTTTCCATGTGTCTAAAATGATTGATGATTCAAATATTATGCTATCATGCCATTAAATACATTTGTAAATAACCTACTAAAGTGTAAATTAAAAAATATATAAGAATCAACAATTCTATTGATACATAAAACCATTCAAGCTTTTAAAAAAAAATGAAATCTAATAAGGGTATGGATTTCAGTAATGAGTAACAATCTTGGAAGAATATGTATTCTTGTTAATGTAGATGTAATAGATAAGTCAAATGTCATATTGGAGTTAAGTTCACGTACAACACATATCAATGTCACAATGATACTAATAATAAAGATTCAGAATTACAGTGTGTTTGTTGGTAGGTCAGCTTATAGTTAAAGTCATCAATCTTGGTTAAATGATACAATATAATGATTGAAAAGATGTAAGCGGAGTCACTTGCATATGACTTTAGTATATTGAGTCTTAAAGTCTATGAAATACCTTCTGTCATGTTAGAGTAAATGTAATTTTATCGGCTTTAAGAAAAAGACAATTTTAATTAAGTTGATATATCCATTATAATGTATGTTATAACGAATAACACATATCAATTAGATATGTAATCAATAGTGGAGATATACATTTTACATGGTAACAAAAAATCTTGTTGATTATGATGTGAGGAATACTCTTTCAAAGTGTTACGAGAAAGTAGATATTGTTAATAAACTACATCATTGTGTTAGATTATTTCAGCTGGATTAGGACGTTTTTTATGAGAAATATTTTTCCTTTTTTAAATAATTGAAAATAAGATGAAGATAATGTATTAATTCATGCTTCCAAAGGGTTTGATTTTGATTTTATCATATTTTGGTAGTGAATTTATTGAATGTTAATTTTATCATGAAGAAATAGAAGTTTACCCTAAAGCCTGTCTCGCCCTGTCCTTTCTCCTTGACGCATTTAATCTCGTTTATTGTGTTTCACAGTCCTGCGAGCCGCCCCCTCCCCTTAATAACCGTCGTCTACTTGCACTCTGTGAATAGTGGGTGTGTCGGTCAAAAAGTGACACTGGGTTCTCTTGCCTGCATCACACGCTCTTCAGTCCTTTCACATTGGATATCTACCAAAGAGGTGCAGTGAGGGAGAAAAGCAGGCTCTAATCATGGCCTCCATTAGTCTGGAAGACGAGTCGGTTGATATTAGAAGGTTTCTGATCAGAGAAGGCATTTAACTCAGGCCTTGTCTACAAGCTCCATAAGGTCCTTGACATGTTGAGTACTCAAGTTAGGTGACAAGATGCATGAACCAGATGGTTTTCTCAAATGTTGTTGGTGTCCATAATCGTTCCTCGGCTTGAAGGAGGCAGACTTGATTCCGCTTGTAATGCCTTTGAAACCCATTGTCTGGATATGGCAAACACATTCTTTTGCCACATATTTCGCCTTCACAACCAGCTGAAGAGAGCTTCACACGTTCTTACATATTTGTTCCAGCCATGTCCTCTCATCTTACTCACTTGCAACTTCTGTTCTCGCCTTGCATCTCGCCGTCAGTTATCTACGTCAAGTATTTCGCTGTCTACCGAAACCCTGTTTTCTACTTCATTCTTTCCTTGTGCTACTACTGGCCAACATGCTTCTAACACAAGTTTGTGCAGGCATCTCGTGATCGGTGTTTGTGATTCGCTGGGACCTTCCTGGTGGAGTTACACATGTATTCATTTGTTGCACATTGATTTCCAAAATCGAGCCATTTGGGGCAGACACCTGTGTAGCTGGGAACATGATGACGCCGCCGAGGTGCGTGATGTCGAAGTGCTGGTAGCCATTTTGATGTGGGATAATCGAGTTCATTTCTCGGCCCCTACTGCGGTAGAGACTTAGGCTTTCAATCCTGGCTGTGTAGTTTATTGCCGCTGGGCATGTGCTCGCCGAGCTTCCCGAATGTCTCTCTTTTGTGAGCTTTTCCTCAGAGGTGAGGTGTCACATCTATGTGGGTGACCTTCCGTTGTCGCTGTGCACCAATCCCTACCAAATGTGTTTCTTCCACCTCCTTTTTAAACATCCTGGATTCGGTGTGTAAGAAAAATCGTTGAAGTATATGTTTTCCACCCTGAATTCTCGACACCCTTCGAAACAAAACATGGTGGCTTACATTACTCGTCTGTGCCTTTCGTTGCCGATATTCATCCACGATCCTGTGATCGATGTAGAGTCGTTGTCTAGTTCATGATTGCGTACACCGTCGAGTGAATCGATAGCAGCAATCCTCGCATCACATGATCGTACACCTGTCAGAGTGCCCACTTGACGTCAGTGTGCTTGGGAACCCCCCGTGGATCTGTTAGTCCCTGTCGAAACATACAGAGAAAATCGGTTCGTCTAACAAGGGTGTTCTCGATAGCTGATGACACTTTTACTAACTGGCTTACGTAGAGAACGGACATCTCACCTTCCTTGTAGCGGAGCATCATCGGCCGGGTCTTGGTTGATCATCGATGCCCTCCTGTGAATGAACGAGAGTTCCGCTTACATCAGTGGCCAACTCAGTGATACCATCGACAACGAAAGGAAGCGACGGATGGTAAGTAAGAATAGTTCGTGGACTGTGTGAGTGTGCACTATGTATACGATCAGCAATGGATGTACGAAGGGAATACCATGTCCACGAAAAGCCCAGAGAGGGAACCCTATGATACGACAAACGACATGACCAACGAAAGACAGGAGGATACAAATAGAAATACACCAAGTGCATGAAGCCTAGAGTGCAAATACGTAGACTCGGATCTGGGCTCAATGAATCCGTCCTATGACATCAAGCGAGCCTACGTTTTTTAGGTTTTCCTGTTAGTACCAAGTATTCTTTCGTTCATATTCGGCACGGCCCACATGACTTTTAGGGGCGGGATTGTTTAAGGACTCGAACAAATTTGCTGACATGTGGTCAGTGATGTCCGTCATCTACACTAAGAGTACCGAACTATTCACAGATCCAAGCAACAGAGAAATCGACACTCACTTGGACGGGGTTAGATTCATCCGGGGTTTCGATGAACTAGCACCACTGTCATCGTCATCATCGTTATCGGGATCGGACTTTTTAAATTTCAGTATTTCAGTATCAGCCCTAACGTCGAGTACCGTGGAACCTGTCCTTGATAAAACGTTTACTCGTTCGTCGTCAAGTACTTCTAGTGCCTGTGGTTCGCGACCACCGCAGCCCTTAGACATTCCGACGTCGATTCTGATGGCCTTACCCTTGCATACAGCATTGATTCCTGCTGGTTGAATCGTGTGCCCGATCATCAGCCTCCTACATTGGAACTTCCCCAGTAATTTAGCCAAGTTTTGGCAAGGAATATCCGAGGGTACTCCGTAGTCTCGATTCCATACGAATCCTTGTTTAACTTCGACGAAACCGGGGGCCTGGTGCTCTTGACACAAACCCTTCACCCACTGGCTAACCTTTTGGTTATACACGACCAAATCCTGCATACCGTTGGGAACTTGTTCATCACGGATACCGCCATGGACGAAAAATGACTTCCCAACGATGAGAAGCGTGGAATAGTGACCCAGAAACCTCGGACAGAATGGCCCTCCTGGTCTCATGCAAAGAATCCTCCCGACGAATGCATTCCAAGTCTTACTCTGAGGTTCAATCTTTTCGATATTCTCAACTTCCTCCAATGGCGGCATCCCTTGCATGTAGTCGAAACCCAGATCGGTTCCCTTGACCATCCTTTTCAAAGCATTTTGCGTCAGATACCTGATCATCACCAAGTGAGAAAAATTATCAGATTGCATCCTTCTTTACAATCAATGAGTATTGTAAGAAAAAGTAGATAGTAACGGAGTCTATCCGCTTCAGTACTTGTTTTAAGATTATGGAGTCCCATCAACGAGGACGGTGCACTCGGCCTCTCTTGGTGCTACCAATGGTTGTTCGCCGCAGCGGTGTCAAAGCAATTGACATGATCTTCTTGATCTCTCTCTCTCGATATTCTATACTCCAAGGCTGATTTTGAGAATAATCACTCTGAATTATGGATAGATTTACACGCTTTGTAACAATCTAACAATGATCAGCTTCTAATGCTAATTAAGTGGCTTGAGACTCTTAATCTAATCTGTGTGCTTTTTATACTGTCACAATCGAACAATACCTTGACAATATCTAGTCCCTCGATATCCACCTCGATTATCCGAATGCCAAAATTGTGAAATTATGATCTGAATGCAAAAATTATACGTGACAATAGAACAATACTTTGAGACTATATAGTACCTCAAAATCCACCTTGATTATCCAAATGCAAAAATTGTGAAATTATGATCCGAACGCAAAAGTTAGACGTCACAATCCAACAATGTCTTGATACTTTCTAGTCTCTCCAAATCCACCCTGATTATCCGAATGCAAAAATTGTGAAATTATGATCCCAATGCAAAAATTATACGTCACAATCGAACAATACTTTGAGACTGGGCAGTACCTCAAAATCTACCCTGATTATTCAAATGCAAAAATTGTGAAATTATGATTCCGATGCAGAAATTATATGTCACAATCCGACAATGTCTTGAGACTTTCTAGTATCTCAAAATACACTTGATAATCCGAATGCAAAAATTGTCAAATTATGATCCCAATGCAAAAATTATATGTTGTTTTAGGCTACTCGTTGCATATTTAACACTTACGAGTTTCCTCCCCATTTGTAGATGGAACCAATTCAAGTGATTAATTATATATTGAATTGATACGCCACTAGCGTACTTAACCTCACAACATGTTTAGAGAAGCTGCACGTATATTATTCTTGAACGGTTTTTTTCCAGTGATGTTGGTTACACAAACTACTAGCATATTGCACAAGAGAAGCGAACCAAGTTGCAACCAAAAGCATAGCTTTGAGTGTTTGTAGTCTATGCTCTAAGTCTATGATATGTGACATGTGGCATTATTTAGACAAAAAATGTTAACTTTTTTGAACATATACTAGGTAACTTCTAGGATATTCACGATTTTGTGGACATTTTTATTGGGCTTGACACTAAAGATGAGTACTCTAACATATTGTCGCCCCAGAGGATGATCATTATGAGGCGATTGCACACCAATGGACTAAGAAGTCGATTGCTCAATCATTTTCACCAACATTGTCATCTACACCAACGTCCCTTCAAGCAACTTTATTTCGCTGGGACGCAATCCTAGTTGTAAAAGGTAAAGACTTTAGCACTTTTTGTGAAATAACTATCACATACCAAATCATATCTTCCTCAACATAGTGAAATTGACACAATCTATTGATGATCAACTGTTAAAAACTGAAGAGTTCAAATACTCTGTGAAGAGCAACAAAGCAAAAGAAATATGAATCTTTCATTGCAAATCTCAAATGGGAATAAGTCACTCTCCTGGAAGTTAAGCGAACTTTCTTGTCTAAATAGATTTTCAAGGCCAAATCACAATCCCCTTTTAATTCTCTACGTTTAAAAGCGTGGCTAGTAGGTTGAGTACTATAACAAAAGCATGGTACTCATTGTTACAAAATGTTTGCTCATGTGATTCGGTGTTCAGCTCTCTGAGCTCTTATTTTATTATCTGTAGCTCTTGGATCGAAATTGTATCATAGAGAAATAATAATTATTTTCTTCAATATAAAGTTGCAAGAACAAATCTACATGAGACAAACATCCGGTTTCAAGCAGCAAGGCCAAGAATATTTAGTTTGCCTTCTCAACAGATCGATCTATAATCTCAAAACAGTCTATGAGACATTGGCATGAGGAGATGAACTCGCATATCTAATCGATTGGTTGAACTCAAAGCAAGTCTGGTTCCAACCTCTCTTTTGTTAGAGAAGGTAAGACCATCATTGTGTTAATTTTCTATGTTGATGAGATACAACTCCTAGAAAACTGTCCCGTTAAAAATCAAGACACAACTACACCAACTATACCACATGAAGGACCTAGGACTTGTCTCCACAGACTTCTAAACGAGTGTAAGATTAATCCCTTGATGCTTCAATCAATTTCACTCTCCGTCTTCCATGTCCTGGAAGCTGACACATGAATCGCATGTATGAATGTTTCGGCCTATTGTTGGAAAATTGATATTTTTGTGCAATACTCACCTCGACTTGTGTTTTGTTGTTGAAATGGTAAGTCGCAACATACACTCTCCCATGAGAGCACTTGGACTCTTATTACATACTATGCTATCTTAACTTCATCCTAGACTATCATCTCCTTTACAACTACGATGTCTCAATATTTCTTTGTGGGCTCTAATACCACGTTATGAAATATAAAATTTAATTGATTCAGAGAAACACTAAGTAATTTCACACGATCAACAAACTACAATCACACCTAAATTTAAGATCTAAAGTACAAGGGAAATTTGCCTCCATTGAAGTCAAGTATTCTTCTCGGTTATTATCTACTTCATTTTACATCCCTCTCTGGTTACATGTCCCTACGAACTTCATTCCCTATGCTAAATATCAAGGCTTGCATGTTGCACGCCTTGATATTTAGCCTGGGAACCTGAAGAATTTTCCTAAACCTGAAAACATACATTTTAGTGACTTTTGAACATGCACTCGGCTAAGTGAAGCCCTTGAGCACATCTTTTTCATGATGTTTTTTTTTTTTTGTAAACTAAAGATACCCCGGTTTTTGTTACAGGGCTTCCTTGGTTCAGATCATGCCTATGGTTTGCAAAGTGAATTGTGAAAGTTGCTGTTTGCAAGGATCTTTTCAGCAATTGCTTATCTAAATGTCCGACTCAATTGTAGGTATGGTCTAGCTCGATTTGTGATCGATGAGCAACGAGATGGCGAAAGCTTTATACGATGACATTACTTTGGCGTTGAATATTCCATGGAGTAATCAGTTGGATACTTCAAGTATCTCTGCACAACTGGAGAGACCCAATGTTCTTGCGAATACTCCAATTCCAAAGAAGAACCAAAGGAATCGACCGATCCATTCCATAAATCTGCTTTCATGATTCTTCTACTCCCCAACGCGAAAACTATATATTGTCCCGTACCTGCATCTAACCTATGACCAATCTACTGTACTCTACAAAAGAGAGTATAGTAATGTGAATGATAATTAGCCTACACTAAGGAATAACTAGCCGTGAATTCTAGGTCTAATTCTCAACTAAATCATTTTAAAATATTTCGCAATACTGTATCAAGCTAAAGTATAGGTAGCTAGCTAGCCCGTGAATTCTAGGTCCTTTTCTCAACTAAACCATTTTAAAATATTTCGCTATATCAAGGTAAAGTATAGGTAGCTAGCTTTGGATTAAAGATACAACCATTCGTCGCCATATATAGGTCGCCTGTTGAACGTTTAGTTCTAAGTTTTGAACTAAGAGTTCAAAATTTAAGCTATGGACATTCATATCGCAAGCCCATAGACATGTTTCCCTTCTACTTGAATGACCAAGCGCAAAGACACTGCAGCTGCTGTAGGTCACTTTAAGGAAAGCTCAGAGAGGACCGACACATCCTTCAGGTGCAATACATGTTACATACTCCATGACAGTCCCGTCCTATTGGAAACCAGCGGGTCGATGCTTTTAGCTCGACTCCTCGGCGCGTATGGTACGGTAAGGTAGGGAGTACAAGACGGGATTCATATCATAATCATATAGATGATTCATATCATTTGTTTAACATATCATCATCGTCGTAGTTGTAGAGGAGACAAAGAAGACGTTCGTCCTACCAGGTATGATAGTTGCTGAACTCCTCTCTAGCTTCTTTAGACGTATAGCGAAAACGCCCAAGCATATTCATCACCTCATGATTCCCGTGGATGCAATAAACAGCACCTCCGTGTCTCGGTGCTTCTCGTCTCAGCTTCTCGAAAAGATGGTAGATTTTCAGCTCCCCTCCGCCCCTGTCGATGATGTCTCCGACCTGCCCAAAGACATGTATTCCAAATTTATGAATGATGACTCTAATCATACGGTGGTTTGCTCAGACATGGAAGCAGAATCGGAGGAACCTAGCCGTCACACTCGTGGAGCAAGATGGTGCGGGACTGTGAGAACCTGGACGAGAACGGTTTTTCCGCCACACCATTTGTTGCCGGTGTCGCTCAAGACATTGGCCAATTTCAATACTTCCTCCGTTTTTTGGAAATCGCCGTGCAGGTCGCCCACGGCCACCAGGCGCTCTGCGGCAGGGACCTTAGTGATTGGATCTTTTTCGAACGCCGGATAGTGACCCCAGTTTTCAGCGCTCCAGACATCTCCCCGGACGGGACTGCGGAAGAAGGCGGGGCACGGATTCTTCGTGGGCCCCAGGACCTGATTGCCGACGGCGTGGTCAAAAAGCACATCGACGAAACTGCCGTAAATGGCCGGTACGTGCTGGCAGACCCAGGGTTTACTCCTCTCATGAGATTCAAACGCATTTTGCGCGATCATGCGGGCCGCACGGTAGGGCGTTGAGCTCCTCTCATGAGACTCAAACGCATTTTGCGCGATCATGCGGGCCGCACGGTAGGGCGTTGAGCTCCCGTGTGTCCCCCTCGAAGGAGACTCGGCCTCATCGCCCCTCAAAGGAGGAGACTCGGCCTCATCGTCAATCAAAGGAGACTCGGCCTCATCGTCGCCCCGGGCCATCTTCACGTGGCGACGTACTCCAAATGCAAGCTATGAGTGAACGACGTAGACCATGCCTCCGGCACACGCCATGCAGCACACCTACGCCGCAAGGAGGAACTCGACGATCGATCTTCTGCTGCAGTCACTCCGCGATCGAGCGATCAATCCAATCGACCGAAAGAAAATCTCGGTGAGCTTATCGAGCACCCTAGCACGGAGAGCACGATGTCAAAGGTCTCGTCCCCCAGGCGAGACCTTTGACATCACAAACGTCGTGCGGGTGTTCATATCAATGTCCGAGACAGAGCCAGAAACAGCACCGCACGTTCCTGAGAATCCTGAACCAATTTCCCTTTCACAAGCTTTGAGTGAAATCCTCGTCGTCCATCGATCCTCGCACCTCTTGGAGCGGAGCATGGCAGCAGCACGACGAGGCCGAGAGTGCCCCGAGAATGGAACCGAGTACCATCGATTTTTGTCAATTATATCTTATCGAAGCACCCGCGGCCATCCCACGGGGGGCCGCGTCACATCAACGTTCCTGCAGGCGGCACCCGATCTTTGTAACGCCCATCAGCAGCAGCGGGCCAGCGGGCGAGCTACATCGCTCCGTCATAGAAGACGGAGGACGCCGCATGCACGAACGTAAATCCGTCTTAGCTGCCGCTACGTGCACGCCGCCGGATGGACATCCGGCCATGGGTCAGTCCGATCCCACCGTCGAGCTACAATAAACTTGAAATTTGCGATAGAATCCTAGTCGCGAATGGGAACTCGAATCCCCCAGGATTCAACGCGGCTACTGGCGCGGGGACGCCGGAGGAGAAATCTGGTCAACGGAGGGGCTTTTGGCGCGGGTACATGAGGACGTTTTTCTGCGACGGATCGTCGAGCGAAGGGGTTCTTGGGACCGAGAGATGAGATGAGTCTCGCCGGGTCAAGTTGAGGGTGGTGCCCGATGGTCAATTGTGCGGATGGGGGCACGCTGCCTTCAGGAGGGAGAGTTGGAAGCGTTGCGTTTTCTCGGGAAGTCGATAGTAGACTTCTGCGGAGGGTATTGTGCCCGTTCCGATCTATATACGAAGTCAACACTTGGTTAAAACTTTTCGTAAGGTTGATAGACAGACCAGTTCCTGATCGGTGCTCTGGAATCTGAAGCATCATTGCAAGTGGGAGTCCTCGATCACTCTCCAACTTGTAATATCAGGGCCTCCTCAAACATTTACAGTGCCCGTTCACTGAGGACACAGTCATTTGGATGATGTTACTTTCCCTGGGAAGAGTTCATGCGGTAGTGTTTCGAAGATACGGTCCAGTTCTAAATGAATTCTTCTTCGACAGTGGGGGTTCTCCACGTGATTTAAAAATCACGTGAGTTGTGAGCTTCCATCTTTTTTGTGCAATAATCGGTACGTGACCGTACGTTGAGGAGTTGAGCCGGGCGAAGCTCTGGACTAGATCCAGAGCATTTAGGAATTCTTCATAAATTGCTCGAGCGCATAGATTTACTTCATCATTACTGGTTCATCCGGTAGCACGAGATGTTGCAGTGCGAGTAGCTCGTATGTGATGCAAGGAGATGAAAGGCATGAGTCCAGCAAGTTTTAACACTCACATCAGGCTTCAATTTTCAGACATACCAATGGGCCAGCTACCTCGTCCAACTCTTCCACTCATAGGCTCCAATCGGGTCTGATTCCTCAACCTCCCCACCCACGAACGTGATGCTGCATAGTATGCAATTATAATTTTGATGTCATGGTTTAGTTATAAAGCCGGAATCTTGAATACTTTCATTTGTGAAATCTGACCTTGTATGCCCTAGTTACGCTGTCCTGGAGTTTGAACTGTATACGCCTCACTGTAGGACTCTTTTCACTTTCGTTCAATGTGCAAGCTTCATTATGAGGTGAACTGTGTTACAGGACTAACACAGTCGTCCGAATTGAGCTTCTAATTGAGTGACCGAAACCTGCTCGATGCTCGAGTGGCCCAGGAGGAAATAATTACCAACTGCTTCGGAGTTTGGGAGACGAGCAAGTAAAACGAATGCGTAAGATGTTGGATGCGAACAAGTCCGTAATTGCTTAGTAATGATATGTGTTGATTAGTAGAGATGAGATGAAGGGAGGGGCTAGTTATCCCTCACGTGGTGCTATTTACCTCTCACCCTAGTGTAAAGAATTCAGTCATGGGGCTATAAGGTCCTTGTGGTAAAAGTTGAATTTCGCGATTACGCGTCTTTCTAATGGATTTCAAATATATCATGGTGTCAGAAGCTACATAAGAAGTTGACTGCCACGTCCATGATCTTAGAGCCATGTAAAAGTTTTGACAGCAAATTCGGGTTCGTGGGTATGAAATTTTGATCAGCACAAATGGTGGTAGCACAAATGGTGGTAGGGTTACTTGGTGTTCAATGTGTGTGGTGGGAATTGGATTTTTCTGGACCTGCTCTGTGGGTATATCCATGTCTTTTAGGGACGCGTGTTATCATACTTCGTTGAATACTCTATAATACTTCGTTGAATACTCTATAGTACACTTTACAATTTCTGAGTGACTTAAATGGAGCAAAGAAACCCGAGTACATGGTTTTAACCTCCTAGCTTAGGCATTATTAAATGTATCATGAGCAAAATATCAACATCTCGTTTATATTTCTGATTATTTCAAAAATCCCATTGCAACCATAGAATTATATCTTCTTGAGTTACTCTATCAAACGAGGACAAAAAGTATGTGGAATGCAACATCTCGTTTATATTTCTGATTATTTCAAAAATCCGATTGCAAGCATAGAATTATATCTTATTAAGTTACTCTATCAAACGAGGACAAAAAGTATGTGGAATGCAACATAAAGAAAGGTGCGGTGCAGTCATTGAATTATTTGATGTTGCTTTGAACATCAACGTCTAAATTGTCACTTGTGCATATTCAATTTGTACTCACTAGTCTGTTTTTGCTTCCATGAAGCTGTACATGGCTTTTAGATCTTGGAGATGGTAATGAATTTCTTCTGCGATTGTTGACACCATGGTATCTTTGGAGTCCGAAACAAAGAAATATAATCGCAAAGTTCAACTTTTAACACATGGACCCTATAGTCTCATCGGTCTAATGACTGAAATCCGTATACTAGGGCGAAGCCCCAGGAGTGATAACTATCCGTTCCGAAGATTAATCTGTGCCATATTGATCCGCAGTCACTCAAGAATATTATAATCAATGTTTTGGAGTACTCAAACAATGAAAGATCCACATCCATCTTATCGAATTGGCTATTGAGAATTATTGTTAACATGGAGATTATATTACCATGAAATACTTATCTTTTTCCCCCTCTTCTTCGAGATAGTCTTGCAATTTCATTGTTACTAACTTGAACAAGTATTCCAATCATTCACCAGAGATACTAGAGTTTGTAGTTGGTGAAAAACTATTGAGTGTGATAATAGCCTTGTATAATAAGACTCAAAGAAAAATTGATATGATGTTATAAATTAAGAGCTAGACTTAGGAGAAATTTCTTTATGAATGAGGCATGTCAAATTCTTTTTACTTTTTTGATGATCTTGATTCATCAAAATAAATAAACATATTGTTAATAATATTATAGACTATTGGAATCCAAAGCTTGTAATTGTATTTTCTTATGTATGAGAGAAAAAAGTTACAATCAGAATTTCATAAGCATTTATAATCAATAGTGCGTTTGTCTATAGGTGAACGGTGTGAGTAAATTGATTCCACCAGAAGATGAAGGAATTATTATATATACTATGGTTTTCACAACTTTAACTCAATATTCATATGATAAATAAAATTTGTTCAACATATAACGCAACTTTTGCAATAATATTTAATTGAATTTTTCGGAATTAGCATTGTGTTGTGGATGATGAAATTATATGTAATCTGTTATTCTGGATCATAAGTTCAAAATTCTTCATAAGTATCTTACTTGCTATTATTAATACATAAATAGCTCAAGCTCTTTCTATTCTAGATCTCAATTTGGACTTTTTTAATTTTATCAGTTGTATAAACCTCAAACTTTTATGTGAAAAAAAATCTAAACAAACCTTGAATAATCTTTAACAAAAAATACATGATTTTTTTTTCAAAGAGTGAGAATTCGATGCGCTTATCACTTGTCACTATGTACATATTCAAATAAGTCCTTGAAATTTTGAGTTCAAACATCAAAAACTTGACTATGATGTTTTCTCATAACACAATGTTCAACAAAAATTCTATCTAGTTATTTAAATTGTATGCAGCAAAAATATCAAAGCACCCTTAATAAATATTAAGCTAATTAGATTTAATCTGATTACCATTTGATGGATCAAATAATAAGACATCTACATTATAGATCAAATACAATCATATGTCCAAACACAAAACTCTAACTTATATGTGATTTGTCATTGCAGAATTACATCCACACTGTTACATCTGTTTTACATTGAAAACATTAGAAGATGTACTTTCATCTAAAGTAAATTGTATTTTTTATTATTGTAGATTTAAACATGATAAAAGGTTTCTTATAATTATGTTCAAGTGCGTTGAGAAATACAACAACATAAACTATTGAGCCAAAGTAGAATTCTTTTCCATGTGTCCAAAATGATTGATGATTCAAATATTATGCTATCATGACATTAGATACATTTGTATATAACCTACTAAAGTGAAAATTAAAAAATATTTAAGAATCAACAATTCTATTGATACATAAAACCATTCAAGCTTTTAAAAAAATGAAATCTAATAAGGGCATGGATTTCAGTAATGAGTAACAATCTTGGAAGAATATGTATTCTTGTTAATGTAGATGTAATAGATAAGTCAAATGTCATATTGGAGGTAAGTTCACGTACAACACATATCAATGTCACAATGATACTAATAATAAAGATTCAGAATTACAGTGTGTTTGTTGGTCGGTCAGCTTATAGTTAAAGTCATCAATCTTGGTTGAATGATACAATATAATGATTATAAGCGGAGTCACTTGCATATGACTTTAGTATATTGAGTGTACGAAATTCCTTCTGTCATGTTAGAGTAAATGTAATTTTATCGGCTTTAAGAAAAATATAATTTTACATTAAGTTGATATATTCATTATAACGTATGTTATAACGAATAACACATATCAATATACGTAATCAATAGTGCAGATATACATTTTACATGGTAACAGAAAATTTTGTTGCTTATGATGTGAGGACTATTCTTTCAAAGTGTTACAAGAAAGTAGATATGGTTAATGTTTCCATTATTTTGATCGGTAAGTTTAGCTAAGCTTGGACGTTTTTAAGTAAAATTATTTTTCTTTTTTAAAATAATTGAGAATAAGATGAAGATAATGTATTACTTTATTCATTTAAAAGGAATTGATTGTAGATTATTGTATTTTGGTAGTGTATAAATTCAATATTACATTTTATTTTGCAGAAATTACTATAGTCGAAATAGTTGAAAGTTGTCAATCTGTGTGTTAACAATTTTTAATTTTCATATTTTCGTACAATATAACGAAACAGTAAGTGAACATTTATTGCAAAACAAAAACTTATTTGTTTGAAATAAAACTACGCTTTTCCAATTGGGTTAAACGAATACTGTAAAACTATATTTTTTATAAGAGAGTATTGTGAACAAACAGTCTCCTTTTCCTAAAAGTTTATGTGCCGCTTACCCTCTTCTTGTTCACTCTATACCCTACTATCCAGAGAGATGAAAGTGATATGTTTCCTGTGAAGGAAACACACATAATTTTCCTCTCCGTCAAGAGCACAGAAGATCTAAGCAACATTCAGGTAAGCACTTCTGGTATACGAAATTTTGATTTCATTTCACTTCATATGGTATAACACCCGCAAATCTTCGGCGATATTTCATATCATCTATACATTTTCGGGGCCAACTACTGTCACGAAACAACATTGGTCCAGCAACTTCACCGGCGTTATGTGACAAATGTAAAGACTATCGAACAAATAAGTCTGAAAAGCCAACACTCCTCATGGACACAGGGCTGTCGATACCTTCTGAGAAAGAAATACAGAAACAGAGACATACTGCTGTTATATGTACTAACTGTAGAGTAATCATCCATATACACATTTGATACGGCAAGCCGTAAGATGAGAGCCCCTTGGCCTGATATTTTCTTCAAACAGCACATTCGTCATAGAGGTTCTGGAATTTCGCAGCGAACTTGTAATTCTTGGCCTTCACAGAAGCACCACGATAAGGATCGTCGTTGGAGCGCATCACCTCGCAGTTATCCAGTTTCTCATCTTCAGCGGCGTCTATACACATTTTTTTCACTTCAGTGAACCTGTCCTCTGACAAGGTAACTTCGGCTAGCAACTTTTTAGCATAATCTTCAGTGGCAATATCAAAATCCTCGCGACGTTTCAGCACAATATGACCACTAATCTCCCAGACTGCAGGATTGACCTGAGTGTCCAGGACTGCTTGATCCACTTCTCCTCGAGCCTGTCTCTCAGCATAACACTGCAAGGATCACGAATTTTGTTAATTTCTTTCGCTGCCGGCAGACAACTAGATTCTAAAAGATAATGCCACATAAAACCTGTAATCTGAGAACCTCAAAAATGTAAGAGTTGATTCGCAACTCTCGTTGTGCGCTATCTTCAATGCAAGAATGGAATCAGGTTTAATCAACATAATAACAATAATACACTCTTCTAACCTGAGGTATAAGGAAGACCCGTGCCCCACAATCCGCTATGAGTACATTGAACGGAATGTTGTCATTTTGTAGACGAATACAAGCATTTGCTATGATGTCTGCAAATTCTTCCAGACTCTCTCCGACATCATACACAATCGTCCTGACTGGATAGTTCACCAGCTGTGATATCTTGCACCCTCCTTTCTTGCGAGTTTGATATAGTCTACTCGTCTCAGCGCGCTCGATAGGAAAAGGAACATGAAGATAATACGCCTGCAGACCCACGAGGTTTCAATATTAAGTTTCAAATGAGTTAAATGTCGTTTTTCATGACCATCTCAAAGAGATTATACATTAGGAATTGACCGCAATTACAGTCTACACAGAGTCTCACCTGAAAGTGGAGATGATTGATGGTGGCAAAAGCCCCCAGGCTATTATATCCGAGGCGGAAATAAGGGTTGTTCACTTCGACTGTCATATGCAGTGCCAATAGAAAGGTTTCTGGGCAGATTCGCTGAGGAATCTGGGATTTGACTTGAGGAACAAGAAGCACATGCCCGTATTCGATTGGACTAACCTGCAATAGGAATAACAATAAAACATGATGAATAATGCAGTTTCTTCCTCTTCTCAAAAAAACGAATGTTCCACATGCACCTAGCTCGCCGAACGCCCAATCTTACAGATGCAAAATGAAGTCTTTTGCCTTAAATAGAAACAAGGAATACTGTTGCAAACAACGATTGAATCTTAACTCTTGAATTCCTTACATTTATGGCGACCACATTAGGACTTTCTCCTACAAAAGCCTGCTCGGAATATTCGCTGCAGTGATCAGAACTTTCATCGAACGCAAATAATATCTCCTGCTGGTCGACTTTTGTAAAATTGAATTTCTTTGCGTCGTAGGGCTGGAGAACTTGATCTACACGGAATTCTGTAGGGCGTTTTTTCAAGTGCCGTCCCTCATTGAGTTGGGCAATGAATCCACAAACACCTGGTAAGACCTAGGCACGACCAGGGAACGAACAATCAGTGTCTTTGCGCTAATAGACAGAACTGTGGTGCACATCGGAAACGATGGATGAACTGTGCTCAATGCAAGATTTACTTCACGGTGCTGGCGTCAAGAACGTGCTTTGCACGCTCTCAGAAATTCTGTGATATTTTTCTATTCGTCTAATTGGTGTGCTCAATTCTTAACTCACCAGTAAAACAAGGTCATGAACACTAACCCATCTACTGGTTGACATTATCTGAACACCTGATATACGTATGCAGATGGAAAGTCTAGCTCATAGAGGAGGATTTACTTCATGGCCAAATGAACATACCTTTGTCTCACATGCCGTGACATCATATCGAAAGAGTCCTTTTTCCATGCGATCCTCCCACTGATTCAATCATTATCACCAATCACGTATGAGTCTCATGTTCAAACAAATATGTATCTAGTCCAAGGGCTCGATAGCAACATATTCTTATTAAACTTTACATTTTTGAACGACGAATCGTATACTCAGGCGTATTGCTGTACGAAAGTATATTTTAGAATGCTGACTGCATTTCAGCGTAACAACATCTACTTCACGAGAGAAGGGACGCGGAGTTGGTAGCCTTGTTTCAGAAGTATACCAAAGGGTAACATACCTGTGACAGCAGAAGGGAGTCGAGGAACGATGCATCCTCCACAGGCTGATTGTTCGAGGCTGAATTTGAGTCCAGACTCAAAGCATTCTCTGAAACATTGGTGACTACCTTGGTCGTATCACGTCTGCCGTAGCAATATAGTGGAAGACTGGCTCCTGTCAGAAGCAGAGAGCAACGTCAGTAAACAAGATTATCCTGCGAATCACTTGAGGCTGTGTCCGGCTTACGGCATGCCAAACCGACAAGGACTACATGAACTGCTTCCTCTACCTACCATCGTTACCAAACCCTCCAGTAATTCTAGACACAAAAGTATTCACGAAGCGAGGTGTAAATGACCACTACGATCATGACGACTGGGTTAAAAACCTACGAGAGTTTGAATAGTTCGCAAGAATCTCAAACCCTACGTGTTTTCTAAAGCTTGCCAGAAATCCCAAACCCTACGATTACTCCACAGGCGCAACATCACTCGATCAAGTGGAGAACGTACCCAGCGAACTGGAGTCGGCAGCTCCAGACACCTGATTGATGGACACTACTGTTGACACCCTTCGGATGGTCAGCATGATGTCCGCTGAGACCACAATCTTGGAAACCCTCTACAAAAAGTGCAAGAGGATCTTCAAGAGAGTGGTCGAAGGAGAAGAAGTGACCTCCGCCTGCCAAGTACGTTAGATCTGAGGGTCGCCCGCCCTCCGACGGGGTGGCCCCCCGGCCTCCGTGCAACGATGGAGAGCCCAAGAAACTCACAGACCCTTGGCGTGAAATTTTCTGAAACTTGTGATTCTCACGAACACGGAAAGAATTTACCACAGCCGTGATGACCCCACTTTGAAGTCCAGGAAAATGTTATAACCCCTGCGAACAAAAAACAATTGCTGAAACTCGGCCAGGGCTGAAACTCGTGTCACACGACTTGCAGCTTTACAGGAACGGTCGACCACCAACGAATAACTCCCGAGAGATCCTGGCGCTACTTCCTGCTCTTCGCTTCAGGACGCTCGCGAAAACTAAGACACGCCGCCACTCCGCTATGAGCTTGGCACGGAGAGATTTTCAAACACTTCGTCTTTCCAGATCCCCTACAAGCACCGAAACAAATGTGTTGTAGCCTGGCAGAGTCTGAGGGCAAGGGGGGAGAGAGAGCAAGACAACCTAGGGCGTTCGCTTGGGAGCCAGGACTACTTAAGAAGCAACTAAACCGTCAAAAATCCTTGCAATGCGAGGCTTGACGCTTCTGTGATGACAGAAACTTCCTTCGAGACGAATCAGGCAGGAATTGGCGGTGGCGCTAGTGAAAATCTTCACACCTGATGAAGAGAGCGAGCGCACACGGGTCCTATAGTGCACGTATGAACTGCGGGGGTAGAGACATTCAGGAGAGAAGAAGAATACAAGGCCGACGTCTAGAACGCTGGGAACGAAAGGGACCCAGTGTCGGCAAAGGCGTGGAGCGTGGTGATAAAATGGTGGTGCCGATGGGCTGCTTCTTTTTATGGGTGTTGCGGTTCTTTCGCTCCTGACTGAACTCGGGTTGCAGTTTCTGGAAACCGAGGTGTCAGGAACATGAACATGGATCGGATACGGGGAGTAACCACACACACACACAACTTTATAGACAGAATACTTTATTATTCGCGGCAACCAGTTAACGACCTCGAACTGGGCTCGCGATATTCCCAGCACCTTTCGCCTTCCACCTGGTCGTCGGCCTCCACCACCGATTGCTGAAGCGCGACGTAGCAGGACCGTGTCCTGACAACCAGTTACCAGGTCCTACCTGGCAACTGCAAGCCTACAGATCGCCAATGGGAAGCCGCTGTATGACCACCGAGGCAAACCCCGATTTCTCCTTCGCTCTCACTCCATGATCATCCTCCCCTCCTTCCTTCCTTCCTTCCTTCTCGAACTCCCATCAGGTTTTCATTGATAGACTTTCTTGGCACTTACCGCTGAGAAGCCAGAGCCATGCATTGGCGTCAGTGGAGGATTGGCTCAGCTGGCTCGGCTGCTGCTGCCCGACGGGACGAGCTGCTGCGACGGATCCACTCTCGTCTCGTCTCCTCTCCTCTCTCGCCAGCATGCCACGTCAACCCGCCCGGCCCCCAGGTGGGATTTAGTTATGAGCTGAGCTGAATTTCACTTTCACCCGCAAGGAGCAGTCCTACCCTTCAGCTATAGATACCCTCCGTCCCTGCGCCATGACGACGGGGACGAAATCTGCGGTATGTTTTGTCCCCGTCGTCAAAGCAGGGCAGACGGTATCTACCGCCACTTCCATGATGACCAACCATCGAATGGTTGGTCATCATAGCTCTCTCTCACATCTATCGTCTTGGACGGATGGTTCCATCTTCGTGTTCTTTTGCTTATCCGAGCGTCCTCCTCTCCTCTCCAGCAAGTTTGCGAAAGGGAAGATGGCCTCCGAGACCTTTGAAGGGTGACTCCATTCTGAGTCAGCCTTCGGCACTAATTGCACTTTGGGCTCTTGCCATCTTTTGGCTAAATTGCTAAATTCCTCTTTTATTGCGCTGACAAAATACTTTTTGGTTTCACTTGTGGTGCCCGAGCTGGGCTCGGTGTCTGACGCTGTAGCATGTCAGCTCACTGCTCTGTCTTTTGCCAGACAAGTGATGGGCCTTGGCCTGAGGATATCCGGCAATTTTGTATTTTCCCTCAAGATGTGGTGGGCAAACGATTTATCCACTTGGACGAACTACGCTCGTATGCGAACTATGCTAATGCTATGGTCCCAGCCTTTGAGATTCGTCGTGACCTTAGAATTCTGGAAGGGAACGCCTCGAAAGTCTTCGCAGTTCGCCGGCAATTTCGCTGATGGCATGTACGAGTTTCCTCACCGGTGAAGATTTGTCGTACTCGCGTTGGAAACCCTGTCCACCGAGTGACCCACTGTTGTGACAAAGAATCTTGACCGGTAAAAAGTCGGACGCTTTAATTTACGATCACTTTCCGAATCGTAGAAGCACTTGAAAGCACGTTGGTACATGCCGAACGACCGTACGGGTCGATGGAAGTTGTGGAAAGAAGTTAGCGTCATCATTCATATTGACTCCATAGAGTCTACGCCCCAATAGCCAAACCACCTGTGCTTTAGATACAATGCAACATTTTTTCGAGATCTTGTTGACAGAATTACTTTTGGAAAGTCTTGTAACTATCCCTGCACATTGAGTACATGCTCCCGTTGCATATGATCCCTGTTATACTCTGTTGTAATGATTATAGACACACATATCAAATTATCGACAGTTCTATCATTCTTTTATTATGATCAAAAATAGAAAATTGCATCATTATATTGGATATTGATACGATTTCATTTTATATTCAAGTGAAAGGTAAGTTTTATCATCTATAGAGGAGACAACACTTCGACTGTTTTTTTAGTACTAAGGCATTGGGACATATTCGTTGTGATCGTTTGTAGTTCATCAACCAAAAATCGGAGACAGGAACAAATTTATTTCACTACTAGAATTGCTTCGGCACACCGGCTATCCTTTTTTCCACACTGAAGCTCACACATTCTTCTTCTTGACCACCTTCTGCACTACAATTAACATGCTCTTTTATCATGTTTTACCATCTTTTTTGTAATAAGCTCATTTATTTTGTTTACATTCTTGCTCTAGCAAGATGCTTAATCATCTATCTACTTTGAATTGTAACAATTACTTTCACTCCTTAAATAGGCATCCACTTTTGCTTGATTCGTAACTACATCTTCATTTCGTAAGACGATAATGTTATTTTCTACATTACATTTCAAGTTTATCATTATTTCATATGTAAAGAATTATGAAGTATTGACTAGAACTAAACAATCACAATGACAGTTTTGTGCAAATACTCATAGAAAAAATTTATTTAGATAAAAAATAATCAAAGAAATAAAAAATTCAATATAATTTTTAATGAATCTTATGCTCAAATGTATAATTTATCTTGAAATAATATGATTTTATATATAACAGAAATGAAGAAGAAGAAAACTTGATAATCATCTATTATGTAAATCATTACGAGTAGTATGCATTTATATATTGGTATCAATTTTGAAAAATATCAAAAAATTTATTTTAAATTTTAAATTTTATTTATTTGAATAAATATTCAAATTTTTATTAAAAAAACTACTTGTACTGTTATGCTAAATTTTTTCTTGATTTTTGTGTTTATTCTTGCATCAAATATTGTATATTTTTAAAGCACATTGATTTTCAACATTTTATCAGGTATTTTTTAAAATTGTAAGATAAATTCTAATTAGATATTTGATTGGGCGTTAATCTATAACTGAATTTTATTTTTTAGTTTATAAGAATATCATGCAATGAAATTTATTGATATGATAGAATATATTTAATAGCCGTTTTAATATTATTCGACTTAGTGTTGCGTTTTGGAATCACACAACTGTTAGTAACATTTCTAGTAAAGTCTAGCTATAGACTAGTCATTCTTACTCTCAAGACAGTTTGTTAAGGTAATGAATACATGAAAATCATGAAACAATTTCTGGGAAGTATGAATAGCCGTCAAGAACCATGGGCCAAAGGAGGTGTACTCAAGTTATTTGAAATTTAAAGACTCATTCTCCCTCTCTAGCCTTATTTTTCAATGACCTATCACACAAACAGAAAGGAAGTATTGCACGAAAGTCTAATTCATGAAGTGAATCAAATTTTTATCAGATTGTATAGTTTTTTTTTAGGTCTCATACATCTACTGCTCTATACAAAATACTTGCTAGTGCAATCCAAATGATAGCAATTATTGTTAGCGAATGATTCCTAGATGCTCCAAAAGCATGTATATTGTTTTATCCAAACACTTCCAATTTTTTCTCAATATGGTAAGACATAATTTACAGTATGATACAATTAGGTACTAGCCACATCCTACGCCGCTGGTTTCATCAATGTAAGTCTTGATGAGGCCTTCCAAAATTTCTGCTTCCATCATTCCATTGTCAAATTACTCCTACTAGATGTGAAAATAAGCAGCAAGAGAAATCACTGCCGGACCATAAACGGGAAAAGGACGTAGATGAACCATGTGCCTTGAAATCTCGACAACCGTGGGACATTTCCGGAACATTTCCGGAATTCCAACAAATAATCCAACCGGAAATGTTCGGTTGCATTGCATTGCACAAATGTTCCGGAATGTTCCGAAATCCCACGGTTGTCGAGATTTCAAGGCACATGGTTCATCTACGTCCTTTTCCCGTTTATGGTCCGGCAGTGATTTCTCTTGCTGCTTATTTTCACATCTAGTAGGAGTAATTTGACAATGGAATGATGGAAGCAGAAATTTTGGAAGGCCTCATCAAGACTTACATTGATGAAACCAGCGGCGTAGGATGTGGCTAGTACCTAATTGTATCATACTGTAAATTATGTCTTACCATATTGAGAAAAAATTGGAAGTGTTTGGATAAAACAATATACATGCTTTTGGAGCATCTAGGAATCATTCGCTAACAATAATTGCTATCATTTGGATTGCACTAGCAAGTATTTTGTATAGAGCAGTAGATGTATGAGACCTAAAAAAAAACTATACAATCTGATAAAAATTTGATTCACTTCATGAATTAGACTTTCGTGCAATACTTCCTTTCTGTTTGTGTGATAGGTCATTGAAAAATAAGGCTAGAGAGGGAGAATGAGTCTTTAAATTTCAAATAACTTGAGTACACCTCCTTTGGCCCATGGTTCTTGACGGCTATTCATACTTCCAAAAAATTGTTTCATGATTTTCATGTATTCATTACCTTAACAAACTGTCTTGAGAGTAAGAATGACTACTCTATAGCTAGAATCACGGAAATGTCCGGTTCCGGACATTTCCGGAATTTTCAACATGAGAAGATGAGAGGAATTCCAACAAATATTCCTAAACCGATGCCACAACGACACGACGAAACCGTTAGCGAAGATGGACGCAGGGCGAGGGAGCATCATGTCAGCAGCCAAGTGAAGAGGAATTCGTCAACCGGTCACACTCGGCTCACTTCACTGCCCCGAGAATTTTATTTTAGAAAGGTGCTGCCTTCTAAATATATCCGTCCACAATTCTGGAGATCGCCGAATTCTCCGAAGGTATGCAGAAACGACAAGTGGTTATTTTGAGCGCGTTGGGAGCCCAAGTAGAACGCGGGCGAGGATGTTGGGCGGCGGTGCTCCAAGAGGGTTCGTCCTCTCTCACTGCGTATCCGGCGGTTGTCCTCCACTCCCGGTTGGCACAAGTGGCCGCACATCAAGTCTTCTTAAATGAACTGGCGGTCATTCTCCAAGAAAAAACCGGCCAGGAAAGGTGGACGGCATTTCCACCAAAAATATCAGGAGCAAATCAGAAGCATCGGTATGCTTTGCACATCGAACCACCGGCGGTAGGCTCCGGGACGTAGCACCGGTGGTAGCGAGTTCTGCCGGCACCAACTGCAGCACCAGGAACGACTGAAGGTCCGAGTACTATGTCCTTTGGTTCTACCGTGTTCCCGGACTGTCTGACAGGTCAACTTTGACGAATTACCGGCGGCCGGCTAGAACTTGTATAACGGAAGGCACGTCACCTGTATTGTTTATTTTCCTTTTGCCCCGGACAAGTATTGGGGCTAATCTCACAAACGTGGAAAATGGAAAAAAATTAATGTGTTACCGAACATTTCTGAGATTCAAAGAATCATAAGACTACATATATCGACATACTAAATGTGCTTTTTTATCTAGTCGATACTTATCCTAGATTCAAGCAATCTATAAATAATAAAGAATCATCTACGGTGACTTTTGCAACATTATTTACAGTATTTTATAAAAATAAGTTATTTGAAATAATAAAAAACGT